CAGCTTATGTTTGTTATGTATAAGTTTGTGTGTGGGTCTTTTTTTTTATTGCTGTATAATACACCCCTCTAAAGACTTTTATAAATTTTTTTTTTTGGGGTTTTTTTTTGTGGTAAAGAAAATGAGGGGTTTAATTTTTTTTTGGGGGGGATTTTGGGGGGGGGGGGGGGGGGGGGGTTTACTTTTTACTTCCTTATAAGAGGCTAATGGGGATGCTGCCACTGGATGGGGTTGCATTTTCACGATTGGATTGACTATAATGGGGTTGCATTTTCAATAGAGTTACTAGAATGGGGTCGCACATTTTTGGATTTTTTGGGGTATGACAGTTCAAACGTACCAGAATGTTTGTACTGCAGATGAAGAGTTAAGTGTTCTTCATTCAATCTAAAAAATGGGTCAGTTCATAAAAAATTAATAGAAAGTGACTAAGTTGGGATCGTGAAAATTGCACATTTGCCCAAAAATGACTAACATGGGCTCTATAATTATTGGCCACAGAATAGACATCCCTTCCTCATCCGGGGGCATTCTGTAGGTCTTTACAACTTGTACATCAATCAGCCATCTGCAAGACTTCCAATCAATCACTGTAAAAATAAACTTTGCTTGCAAGCTTACATTAAAGTTAAAAAGGATGAAAACAAAACTTACATGAAAACTTCTAAGTAAAGCTTATATTTTATACAGTTATTAATTTACCTTAACACAGCAATATACTTAAAATATATCCTTTTAATAATCCAAATTTTTTAAAACTTAAACTACAACATTGAGCTACTATCAGTCTGTATTTTTTAAATTTTGTTTTTTTTGTTTTTTGCTATGGAAAGCACTCCTTTAAAATTGGCAATTTGATACTAACCAATAAGCAATAATAATAGCGGAGCTCCTTGCGTGCGCGAAGTGCGCGCGAGCGGAGCACCATAACTAAGATAATTTGGTAAACTATCCATCCGAGAAATTTTGGTGATGACGTCAGCGTACGTCCGTCCGTACGGACTTTCTGGGTAGTAGAAAGTAGTCCGCATGGACTCTTAGGGTAGGGGAAAGTAGAGATTTTTTGGCGGGAAATCGCATGATGCAATGTCGCGCAATTATATCGTGCAACTGGTTTTGAAAAAAGGGCGAGAAGAAGGAGAGAAAATTATGGTGAAAAACGCCGGGAAGCAGAACGAGACAGAGCTAGAATGAACAGACAAAGGCAACGCGAATGAGAAATACAAAGGCAAAGAGAACGGCAGCAAAATAATGACATCATGACAGAAAGTGTTGTGTTAATGTCACTATGGCCCCGCGCTATTAACATTTTGATTTCAAACTGATCTCGGGCGCGAAAATTCAGCCAATCATTTAAAAATACAAGCCGGGAAGACAGAGGCTTTTCACTTTTCTCACCATAGTCACGAGTTGATCATGCTGTACGACCGTCCAATTTTTATGCTCTGATTGGTCAAAATTTGACAGGTGAGTTCATGCAGAAAATTTATACAGCATCTTGAAACTTGTTTACTTTGACAGCTGAAGCTGACAGAGTTTTTTTGTCAACTTGTGATGTTTTTTACTGTCTTTTTCCACTGGATGCATAAAATGAAATACAGCTGCTATCATCAGTCTTCTGTTATTCATGGCTGGATTGTTTATTGAATTTTTTGGTTGAGAAATGCGCCGCTTGTCAAAGTTGGAAATCGGATTTCGGATGACATCGTTTTCGTTTTTCACCTTGCTGGATGCGGGTTGAAAAGTCGCTCAAGCGATTCTGGCATTACTTGATAGCTTTTAGGAGCCGCATCTCGAATGGTAAGCCTGAGTAACTATTGTATACAGTGTATGTGTTTGTTTTTTTATATGTAATTTCATGAAGTCGAGCGCAGTTTATGAGGCTAGTTTACATGTAGCTTATGCACGTTTGTATTAAGATCTGAGACAATGATCTGATCTAGTATGAGGTTTGATATAAGCTTACAGAGCTTTAAAAAGCCTTTAGTCGATGTTTTCTCTCCGCAAATAGAAAGAAAAAACGTTCCAAACGGTAGTTAGTTGTAATTTTGGCTGTAGAAAGAAAGCTTTGAGCTATTTTCTTGTCTCGAGTTCATCTTTGAAAACATTAAACAGCAGGAAGCCAGTATAAAAGCGTTAAGCTTAAGCTCAAGGACTCAGGATTTTTAGAGACGCTTTAATACTTGTCTTCGTGAATGAAAATTGTTGTCTCTGTAAAGGTTTCACCGAATTACATTTCTTTTATTGATTGTTAGTAGTCTCTTGCAATTTTAATCGCTTTGCCGTTTGTTTTCAGTCGTTCATAATCATCGCTTGCAGGAGTACTCAAAATGCCGCGCGTATCAAACGCTTTTTAAGATTACACATCGTTTATATAAAACCATTAAAAAAATAAACACAATAAATTCTTTATTATGTTGAAGCGTAACTCTTTTAATGTTCACTGAAAATTTGGCGCTTGTCAAAAGTGAGAACTGGCTGATCGTATAGGTGATTTTGAAACATTTTTTGAACGGTTTTGCTAAAAGCCCACGCGTGCTTCGTACGGTTCTGAATATTGAATGAATGCAATTTATCTTGAAAAATTGTGAAAGACTGCATTTTGTCTGAGGTCTGTATGATAAAAACAGCGCCTCATATTACTGTTTCACCTCAGATGTGATGTATAAAAAGAATGAAATGTTGGTTTACGTATACACGCACCCAGTTGTTGGCAAGATTTTGTTACGTAAACTTGTCGAACGCAAAAAATTCGGCCTGATTTGTTTTCCAAGAATTCGTTTTCCAGGCCTAATCTACTGTGATCAAGAGCCATTATGGCCCTTAAATGTGATCGAAGATGATTGCTATTTTTGGGGTATATATATACGGCTATCAATTCGATGTAAGTTTTTTTTCATTCGAAAATCACTTAGCCTTAGCTTTCCCTAAAAAGTCACATATATGTGCCCTCAAGTTAACTGATTTGTGGATTACAAGATTATTGTTTGATTTAAATGATAAATTTATTAATGACAGCTTCGCTTTTAGCCCTGGCTAAATCTATATATTATTATTTTGATGCAGGGTCATGGGCTCCTGTTTGATGGGGATACCCAGCGGGAGCCTCTGCGGAGGAGAGAGCACATAAGTCACTTTTAGCACAGGTTTCAGAGGGGTTATTTGTGGCCTTGACTGAAGTTAAAATTTAACGTATAGATAAACCGAATCGCCTTTTTACGGTAGAATCAAATATGAACTGAACTTGACCGGTTAACCGTCAGCGATCGTGTTTACAAACCTGGTAATATTTTATCAAATGATCCACAAAACTTCTGAAGGTAATGCCTACCCCTCCCTGACAGAATGTGAGCTACCGATTTTGGGGATGAAACATGTCTCTTTTCTTTTCTATCAAAGACAGCCTTGGATTCTGGATTCCAAGTCATGGATTCCAGGTTCCAGGTACTGGATTCCTGATTTTTTTTCAGTGGAATTCTATCTTTAGTGGGATTTTGGATTCCTTTAGTCTCCTTCGCAGCCGTTATTAGGGTCGTCACTCGTCACACAACCCTCTAGGTCCGGAATCCGAATTTCCTTACATAAGGCGATCTTCTCGGCACTTCGTGCCACGCTCGGAAAGCTTGCCATTAGGTGACGTTCATTTTCACCGAAAGACGGAAAGGTTTGTGGGGGTTGGGGAAGGGGTTGAGTATGCTAATTTCACAATTGGGAGTATAATCATTTTCATGCCAATACTTGTTTCGAAAGGCACTGAGCATTGGATCGTATTTTGCGAGGTTTGTAACATGATCGCATGACCGTGTGATCTGTCAAGTTCATTTTCGATTTTTCAGTAAACAAAGACGTACCCTGGGTGCAAGAGGTTTTTTTCTCGCGGCTGAATGCTTCGGTTCTTCGGTTAAAGTCACGAGCGGCGAACTCACTTGGCCGAAACCGGGAGCTGCGCATGAAAAGTCTCTGACATCCAAGGTAACAAAGGCGATTCGCGCTATTAACTGTAAAATCCAACTGCAATCAGTTCTCTGCGCCATTGTGGTTGGGGACGTCAGTCACGCATTATCGCGTGACCAGCCTCTGTAATTGCACGCAATAACGCAATTATCTACGCTACCATGGCAAGTTCGTCGGTAATTCAAAAGAGAGAAGGAGAATGGACATCAGCTAAATACTGGGATATTCTGGGCTTATACATTCCATGGTCTTTCACCAACGATCCAGCATTGTTAGCTGACTACATTATTAATTTTGAGACGCGACCAGATGATGTTTTCGTGGTTTCATATCCTAAGTCAGGTTTGTGCAGTTGAATTCATAGCGCGAATTGCCTTTGTTCATTGTAGAATATATTATTTTAGAGGTAATGTATAGATCCTCCTCAGTCCTGCCACGAAAGTTTGAGC